TCATAGAATTAAAACATTTTTGAAAATTTTGAAAATTCAAAATGCATAGTTTTCATACGATTCACGTAGGCAAGCGTCAGGTTAGGTTAGCGATCATGCCATTTTAAAAACTCAAAATTTTGCACAGAATGATCGTCAGACTTAAGACTTTTAATAATAATCATTATTTACACTAAGATATTTTTTTAAATCAGCCGCGAAGACCAGGCACTTAGAATTAAAAATGCGATCGCACTCATCGTTAATGTACGTGCTGAAAATCAATGATCCTAATGTGGACCCCGCGGATGATGATTATGAGGAGGAGGCTTTGTAACACGGCTCGTGTTCAGATATCCTGTAACATCCATTAAACTCCTAATAACAATAATAATGTATCGCCAGGGTGATGCGTGCTAAAATAGTCCCCTGCTGTCCTATGCAACCCCCGTATCAAATTATACGATGGGTGTGGAAATGAGAGAGAGAGAAATGCATACAAAGTTTTGGTCAGAAAACTTAAGGGACACACAGAAGACAGATCTTAAAGAAAAATGGCGAAATATCTGAATTATCTGGCTCACAAGGACCAATTGCGATCTCTTGTGAACGCAATAATAACAGTTCGGTTGACAGTCCGTCCGTCTACACAAGAAGTTCATAGTCTCAATGTTTATTAAAAATCATCTTCATGTTTCGACCTTAATTGGTCATCTTCAGGTGGTAACATTCGCGTCGATCCGTGCGATTTCTTTACAATTTTTCGTAATAGAACATAATTTTTCTCGGGTTTAAAAGCAAATGCTAAAATGGAAGGGAGAACTAACTATGATTTTAAAAACGTAAATAAAGTGTTTCACACAAACTCGCAAATGCACCCATGCATAAAGAATTTTCTGTTGTGTCTTTTGGCACAGAAATGAACCAATTGTTGACAGACAAAACAAAAGCCATACGATATTTGACAGTCCACGTGGAAATCAAATCAAATCACTAATAACCTTGAAACAGAAACTTGATGTGACATGTCCGATCTAACGTCTATTATTTTAGAATCAGACAAATCTTATTTGTTTCAACATCGCATAGTTTCATGACAGTAGACATAAATACAGAAATAAGGTCAACAAAATTTCCATTTATTGTATTCACTGTACATACTGGACGTTCAGGAAAAAATGTCAATTACTTTCGCCAATATACGATGACTGAGTTTCCTGCGTAAGACTTGCAGAAAAATTGCGAGGGGAAAATTTTGCAAAATAAATCAAATGAGACGAAGCTTTAGAGTCCATCGTTATAAATTTACAGGACAGTGAAATAGGTTCCAAGAACAATGATGATTATTATTATTATTATACTCCTTTAGGTGTTTTCTTGGAGAAAAAACATTTCACGGAATGTTTTATAAACTTTTATTTTATATGTGTACGTATGTGCACAGTCCTGCTGTTTATATTACGGTCCAGCAATTGCGAACACGCACCGAACTGTTGGCCAGTGGACGAGCCTAGTTCAGTCCGCTTTGACCACTCCAGTCCCGACCAATACGAGTTACTCGGCTTTCATATCGGATTCACAAATGGGCCAACAGCCTAATAGCTAGCCGCAGGCTTGCAATCAGCAGTAAAGCTAATGTTGGTTTTAATTAGAATTCGCCCTGCAACGAGACCCCCCCTACCCCCGCCCCTGAATAAACTTCCCAGGCAACGCCGAGCTCCCTAGTTCCAAACAGAAGCCGCAAATGATTGCAGCTTATTTTACTTCGTCGTCACAAAGAAAATTATTTACTGTACCCTCAGGAAACAGACCTGTATGTGTCTTTATGCGTATAGCTGTAATGATGTGTCTTTTATGTGCGTGGATAGACGTAGTAGGTAACAGCGCTGCGCACTTATTTGTGAATAAGAACGTTATGGATCACACCCGGTACACTGGATTCATCGAAGAGCATAAAACTCATACATACATTAAAAAATACACCCCTCCCCCCTCAGTACCCTCTGGGTAGAAGCCTGGCAGATCCCAGGACCAGTTTGATTGCGATGCGTATAAGTAAAATCTCATGCACCTATCGGGCATCGAAATCCGGTTGTCAAGTCTGTAGCTTAGTCGCTTTACTAAGTTAAGCGTGTTACACATTAGTTATGCCTGCTTGCAGACTACAAAACCCGTCTGCTAGAATCTTGCTTGGACGAAAGTTATAGTTAACAGTAGAAAGTTCCAACTTCGTTAATCCTACCCTTAACTCATTCCCCTTCTGTCCACCGTAAAACTTACAGTTTGGCACAAACATGCTTTCCTCAGATATGTCTACGATAACAGCGTGTTTAGGAAATAATGAAAAATGTACAATGAGTAATATTTCCTACCTTAGTAGGTTCCCACGGTGGTGATCAAGAAGATGACTGTCTTCAGGCGTCATGGAGATGGAAGCTGCAAGAACTTCCAAACGTTGGTAAACTTCTAGTAGACCACACGACGATACAACCCATAAGATGGCCACAGTAATTTCCTTTCTTATTGCGTTGAGGTGCAGCCTATAGACCACTTAACCTGTCACTTCACTACTCTTGAAACCACTATTCTGCACATTCACTTACCACAACTGTCTCACAATACTGACTACACCCAAATATTACGTACGTTCAAGGACAGAGCAATACAAGCACCCATCCTCCTCACGCCATTTTCAACCAGTCGCGACCCATACCATGGTATTCACACAAAAGTCAACTCGAATGAATCGACTTGCAAAAACAGCACGAAGCATTAAACACCGCCATCTTTTTTAGGTTGGGTTATAAAGAAATGAGCGCCACTTAAAACGCAACCAAGCAACAATCACGTACCAGGGTACAAAAATAACTTCAGAAACAGTCCACCCCCGAGAAATAGACTCTCCCAACCTCACTCGTGACACTCGAATTGAAAGCAACCTGCTTCCTAGGCCACTGCTCGCGACAATTGCACGAAAGCTACGTAGGTGCAAATAAGGTGTGTTCACAAGCAAAGCATAAATTCGAATCGAAACCGCTCATGCAGTTCGCAAAGCGTTTGGCAGTGCGTATCCTGACAAGGAAGTACCAAAGAAGACAATACGCGGACTGGTAACAAGACAGCTGCTCATCGAAAGACAGAGCACCGATCTCAAAGAGTGCATCAGATGTAAGGGGACACGGCTGCAAGGGTTCAGTAAAGTGATGGCCGTAACATTCCTCGGTTATAAGCGAGTATCGTCAGGAACATCATTATCATAACCAAAAACAAATTTTAAAGCCTGTTACCTGCGTCGAACCTTCTCCAGGATTTCTAGGAAACGTGAAGCAGATGATAAGTTTAGTATTAAAGAATTGTGGCGCCAGTTTAATATCAAAATAACAATTGTATGTTTCGTCTTTACGCGTTTCCAGTATACGCTGCGATTCGCAGGAAAATAACCACCGTCACCTTCCCTACAACAGTTGATTATCATCATCCATAGTGCTTCGGCCCGTTTTCGGACCATGACCTCTCTATTTTGGGGGTTCTTGATCTTTGAAGTGCGCATTTGTGAGTAGTGAGTGTCCAGCCCACTGCCTCTGCACAATTTCTACTCAATCTTGATTTATCTGCTAGAGCCATCTCGTAGTGAATCAGGAGAGACTCGGGTGAGAAATGGCCGCTGAACTAATCCACCGAGGGCGACCAACAGTTAGTTATACCACAGAAAATTAAGATTGTAGAGGTCAGGCATTACTGACCGATTTTTGGTTACTTGGGCAGACAGTAGACAAGGTTATCTGTGTCCCCGTAGGTAACAGTCAAAATCTGCAACTGGGGGGGACAATCCACAAGAAAGTCAAATGCGTACAAATGTCAACATTTAGCCCTCCTTTCAAAACAGCTGACTGATTCTAATTGAATTTCGTAAAAATATTATTCCATACATTCTGGAACTTTGTGTCATATTGGTGTGATATTTTTGTTCAGATTATGTTTGTGCACAATGTAAAACATAGCATGAACTCTCTATTCACTCTGATGATGGAGGCAGAAAGGTCCTCTGAAATATCAGTCAGTATCCACAAGACAGCAGTGTTTAAAAATGTTGTTGGACAGATTCATGTGTTAATTGTAATTTGATGTGTGGATACAATGTTACACGAAATATTTTTTTGGTTTAAAAATTACAAATATCGCAATGACGCACACTTTGGAAGCTACGTTGGACAGATTTCTTTCAATCGTAAATTTTACTAGCAGAAATTATGCATAAAGAATCAGCATCTCTTTTAAGAAATTTATTTAATTATGATGCTGTTGGAAATTAATAAACATGACACATAATCTACTGTCCGCGAGAAACCGAGATTAATTAAAATTACGAGAAGCACCAGAATTAAGGAATCATACTACAGCCAGTCAGTTTTAGTGAGCGCAAGTTGTATTAGCTTTAAAATAGTAGTCGCTGACGTACTTTCCATAAGAGAGTAGCAAAATTTCCAGCAGTATAAGAAAAGATGTCTTCATATTTAAATGAGAGATAAGTTCAATTAAGCATTCTCACATGAAATGTGCAAATTGAAGGGAATTGCAATCAAAACATACAGCGAAATACAGCATTTCAACATAAGCCGATTATGACTGCAGGCATTTCAAAAGTACCAATACCGTTAGATGGCTGTCTTCTGGGTTGTTGCGTTGTGACGTCTGGTAGAAGTTTTCTACCAGACTCGCCGCCATGAAAGCCTCAAATCCTACCAATACCATAGTTTGGAGCGTTAACAGCGACATGACAAATTCTGACGATAGTTATGGTAACGTGCCGGTATTTTAAGTACTCTTTTATTCATTTTTACTGCTAGTAGAATAGATTTCTAGAATGGGACTAGCCGTTAATATAATTTATCGAGTTTTGGTTTTTGGTGTCAATTTTTTTCTTTCCCTTAACATTACTTTAACATTCTTATATTTGTGGGTGTGGTATTTGGATATATATGGTAAGTCTAACGGACATGTAAGAAATATTAACGAACAAAAAGAGTGTAACTTATGATGATTAATACTTCTGCACTAATAATGTTTCATAACAACTTAGTCTTCATCTCTTACATCTATGTAAAAGCTACAGCTGAGAGATGTAATCTTGTAAATTCTGCATTAAGCATTACACGAAGCTCTCTTAGGAGCTTGGACTCGCAGCATAAATTTTCAAAATGAATCAGAGTCAGAAACTGATGCTGCTCATAAGGCACAGGTAGCAAGCAAAAAAAATTACACCAATTCCGGGTAAAACGCATACTGTATTGTGGTGTAAAATTTACGTGAAATGAAATGATTCTAGAAGCAATATATAAAAAAAATGTGCTTTTACCTTCACATCTGGTGAAATGAAATGATTCTGGAAGCAATATATAAAAAAATGTGCTTTTACCTTCACATCTTACCAAATTTAAAATACCAAGGTTATCATCTTCCATTTATCGTCTCTGGCAGCTGGCGTGCCGTGCGCCGCTCGTGCGGTAAATGCAACACGGCAGAAAAATACAAAATTCCAAAATTTAGGAGACAATGTTAAGTTTTTGTCATCAACTCTTACTTCTTGTAATGCAAAATAATATTATTACAAATATATTTCACCCTGAAGTCTTACTTTTGCTGCGATAACTAAACAGGTTCACGTGAAAGCATCATTTCTGGCCGCTGCTGTATGCCTGATCATGTCTAGGACTTAACGCAGCCTATTTCCGCAGTTACCGAAGTTCCCTAGGATAAAATGCAGGTGGAATGTGCCAAGGCTAGGAATGTGAGGAGATCTCCTCCATGACCCACGTCACACCTTTAACCAGGGCTCGATTAAGAATTGTTGGGGCCCTGGGGCAACCAAAATGAACAATAATTAAGTATAAATCATTATCCTATGATCAATGCTTCATGCTGTAGGGGAAAGAAAAAAAAACTTGCATTTTATTGAGGTCCCAGGGTGACCACCCTCATAATTCCCCCTTAAATGTGACCCTGCCTTTAAACGGAAACATTTAATAACTGCCAACGTGGCATACAGCGTCGGCCAAAACTGTGTTTCCACACATCACATATATCATAAATTACAGTTAATAAACTCTTATGAAAATGACAAAAAAATAGTAGTAATTGAAAATAAAATTATATTACCCTAAAGGAGGACGATAGTTTGAATAATTTTATCGCAGTTTTGTGACTGTGATGCAAACATTAGCATCTGTTGTTTTGGTGGTTCCTCAGACGAGGGAAATTGGGTGGATAAAAAGTTTCTTTGTGATTATATACTGTCACATTTACATTTTAATTAAATTCGAAAGAAAAGTTTTGAATTTCATAATAAAATAAGTGTTCTTATTATTTCAGTAGGATATTAACAGCTGTTCCAGGCACACCAGTCATTACTAGGTTGATGATGATGATGATGATGATTTGCTGATGTTTTATCAACTTACAAGGTTACGTAGCATGTCACAAGATAATACATGAATAACAGGAGGAATGATCGGATGAGGTGATGAGAAATCTGAAAATCTGTTTCACAATTATTTTGCCCACCAAAATCACGTGTGAACTAACCGAGTCTTTAACGAAGGCCTGAATGTGATAGTTTGTTCATTAGAAGCAACATATTTTAAAAAAAAATGTATTTCAAAGCACAGTCCTCCTTTCAAGCTCACAGAGTAAAGTACAATGTACAACAACAACTACGCTGTCCATTCATTTAACCTTCCGTATTTTTTCCCCCTAGCTATATGACATGTAAATGACATTAATAAACATATTAAAATTTAAGCCAAGACCAAAGTAATCTCAACACGTACGTACATACGAGTTCCATCCCTTATTACGTAAAATGTCACGTTCATAAGTATTACAGTTACGGATCAGGGAAGCGGTACTAAATTAACGCCATTATGGAAAATTTACAAATAAAGCGTCATACAAAGCAGAGTTTTTAGTTGCTTTCACGTTATGATCGTCAGTCCAGTTTGTCTTAAGATACAGAACCAGTGAACGTTCCAGCCATTCTGATCGCAAACAATTAATAATGGCGTTGATTTATAATGCATTTGTAAAAAAAAATATAATTAGATAAATATGTAAACTGCAACATAAAGAGACATGAAAATAATTCAGTAAGTATTTCAGCAAATTTCAAGTGTATTCTGGTTCTTGTCGCATAATACGGACGTTGCAGCTTTGCTCAGTCAATGGTACATTTATGTTTCCGGCGTGAAAAGGTGGCACACGGAACGTTGTAACTACTGGCACCACCCTGTCTGTACTGTATGCCAGTTTAACTAATTCAGCGAACTATTTGGAACCTGAAAGCTATCTCATCACCGAGACGCAGCGTTGACCTACATATCACAAATCAGCACCGAGTATCATATCGCGACCTTCGTTATATCCTCACTCCATGTGGGTAAACATTTTTCTATTTTCATTTACTGGTTGATTACATTGTCTACAAAAATATTACATTTATATAACACGACTCTGTACCAAGGAATGGAGAACTGTCATTTTTTGTGATGTCCCACAAACTTCAGAACGTGGAAAACGTTCATCCACATTCCAGATCTTTGATTTCTTGTCAGTGATGAAAAATGTGAGACTTCAGAATCATCTGCAAGGGCACCATCATCTCCATTTGTGATGGGAAATAATGATATACAGTGTTTTTCCTCTGGAAATGCAGGCTTTACCTGACAGGCCAGAAAACATCTGACAATGGGGCCAGAGACCACAATGAACCAGCAAGTACAGTTAATACCAGCGAGGAATCGGGATTTGACCTGCCACATCGTCCTCACGAGTTCAGCCAGGGATGCGCCAAGCACTCTGCCGCAGTGGCACGCAAGTTGGGATCAAATTCTAGCATGGGCGTGAGAAAATTTGCGAATGCTTCGGCCTCCTTGCGATTCCAGTCGTACTTCTCGGTCAGAACTTCCAGCAAACCCCATGGCTTCAGTTTGGTGATGTGTCTAAGTTCTCCTGTAATAAGAACACCCAATACAGGGCAGGCAACAGGTGGAAAATGGGATACGACGGATCTGATTGGCTGAGGAAAAGAGGCAATGAAAAGTTCCTTCTATGGGGCACATAGTGAGGAGAAGACTCACGACGTTTTGGTGACCATGGGAATCAGGAATGGAGGTGGCAAAAGAATTTTAGCAACTACATTTATGGGCCACAAGGTTGGTATTGAAAGTAACGGAGAGTAGCCCCTGTGGACCATCTACATGGTCACCAAAATCCTTCGCTACCTCCGTTCCCAATTCCCATGGTCACAAGGTACAAAATGCTTGTTCCCCAGGCAAACTTTGTATGTGGATTTTACTGTATTTAAGCATGAGAAGAATCTTTAACTTCTCATTTCAATGCTAAAGATGCTGAATTATTCAGCAATATTTTCATGTCTCCATGATAACCGCTTCAAACAAGAACAAATATTGCCCTGACACTAGCGCTGTATCTTGACAGAGACATGATTCAAGGTTACGTATCTCAACAATTTTTGGATATTACGAGTGCCCACGCGAATGAGCATTTATCTGAATTTTTCTTGTTAAGTAGAGGGAGTATTGCACATCACACATTTTGTGGTGGACTTATCATTATACGACAGTAATTCTGGTGAGGTTCAATGTACATTCAAATATTTCAACTGCGTTAATCTGTCTTTAGACTTCGGAACCTCTAGTTCAATAACATTACTTTTCAGAAAAAGAAAGATCAAGTGTTGCTTCTGTATTCACATATAATTTATGAGTTTGGGGAGCTCATTAATAACAAGTCTGGCATTACTTAAGAAACTCATTTTAAGAACGACACACTGTATCCCAGGAGGTAATAAAAATAATCTATATTTTAAATATATGTAAATCCTTTGGTTACAGAATATTTGTAAACAATTAGGCCTATATCAGAATTACTCTTTTCTCAAGATAAACTTATACAAACTTTGGAAACTAATTCAATCTAAAATTCACTCTGAAGAGGGTAAGAGGTGATTGGAAGAGTAAGGGATATCTTTAACCTTTACTGAGCTGCTGGCTGGACTTCAACGTTTTGTGGTATGATAGCGCAACGCAAGGTTAGCTCGCCACATGCAGAGTTAATTATATACCACGCAGATAATTTGGGGTTACAGGAAGCATACAAAAACACCAGTTCTCTTCGTTATGATAATTTCAACATTCGTTCAGCTACGAGATGCACAAATTACATGCTAGTAAATTTGAATATTAATATTACTATCGAGTATTAACGTTAAAAGCAGATTTTACCTTTCCTATTGAAGAACTCACGCGAATACTTTCCAGAGAACATCACATGCCTGGGGATATTTCCTAGCAGTTCAATGATGTGCGCCAGGTGGTCCTCATCACGGGTATAATCTTCTCCTGAGTGTGGTTCGAACAAATAGTCCCCAGTAGCCAGTTCAAATGCCTGTGAAATTGACCCCAAAAGCTTCAATGTTATCGATGATTGTTATTATGTGCAATAAATTTGAGGATTGCGTTCAGCTCATCAAATAAAGCCAAAACTTCCTGTAAACACGTGGTCACAACAGGTTGTTATGAAGATGTGGTAACATTGTGTAGTGATAAAGCATCAGATTACAATTAATATTTTTGGAGGAACAATTGGTAATTTTCTCATTGGACCTTAGTTGCCTCCTATTTATATAACCTAACAGAAAAATTACCTCAACTACTATACGATGTACCATTTGCAACATAATAAACTACGTGGAGCTCCTCATTTTACGCACAATATAATTTTTTTGGACTCTCACTACCCAGAGTGATGGACGGGATAAAACGGATCAGTTCTGTGGCCTCCACGATCACCTGAGATGAAGAAAATGTTTGGTACATGAAGGTAACTTTACCTAACTTTCTGGTTGAAGCAGAAGTAATGAGGAGAGAAAACGTATTTCCTTTTGTGAAAATTTAGATACTGAAACACTGAATGGTATTATAGTAGCTTGCAAAAGTTTTGGGCATAACGAAACCCCCCTTTCCTACATTTACGAATGCCACATTTCAAATATTTAAACTCACCATATAACGAAACCCCCTTTCCTACATTTACGAACGCCACATTTCAAATATTTAAACTCACCATGCACGCAGTACTCCATATGTCAGCTGGTGTTCCATACCCTGCACCCAACAGAACTTCCAAACAACGGTACTGTCTCGTCTGGATATCTTCTGTAAAATGATGGTACTGTAACAAGTACAACCAATGTAATATCCTATAGTTCCGAACCAACAGAAGTTTGCTTCCAAAAGACCACAAGAGAAACGTTCAACTCATCTGCACACGCATTACGCAAGTTTACTCACCGACCAACAAGCATTTCCTAGATCTGCTATCTTCACTTTAATATTGCAGACTTCACGTACTGGATCCGGTTGGTACGTATCTGGACACGACGCCGTTCGACAGAATGGTTTTCCTGCACAGAAATATACATATCTTGTGGCAAGTTCCATTTCTAAATCTTTGACTTCCTAATTCTTCCTTCTCTGGCCAATGTTCCTGGCTTGGTCCTTGGCCCAACAGTTTCAAACACTCTTTACTCTGCCCTGAAGATGAAGGTAGCATTTTCCACCAATAACCTAGATGCCCACTATCTCAATTCACATCATTGTGAAAACTATAAATCCTTCGTTCTCTCAAGTCCTGTAATGTCGTACGAATTTTACAGATCTGTTCCAGAGGAAGCGTCCTTGCTCTGGCTTCTTGCCTCTTGTATTCCAAGTGAAAAGTCTGTTATGTAAGATTTGAGGTTTTCATGGCAGTAAGTCTGAAGACGACTGTCTTCTGGGTTGTTGCACCACGTAGTCCGATAGAAGCCTACTGACGTTTCAGAGGTCCTTGCTCCCTCCATCATCGGGGTAATGAGTAACTTCCAGTAGGGAAGCAACCCATTCCTGGATATCCCAAGATACATTTGGTCCAGATACCAACTGCCCATCCTCAAAGTCTAGTCCAAAAAGTTACCTCAACTGCCTCCTAAGCTTCAAACTTCTCCGTCTAATGAATTTTCTTCTTATGTGATTTTAATTTTGAATTGTTTATCTAAATTATCAAATGACTGAGCTTAACTTACTCTTGCCTACCTGCATGGGGAAACATGACGGACAGACATGGACAGGTCCATAAAGTGTTCTTTGCTTACACCAGAGCATGAAAATCACTTAATAATCTTAAAAATTACTTATCAGTTACAATGGAAATTCTGGTGATATGAGATGTAAATTAACGAAGCAAATGCCAAACCTCTACTACCATCACACTCCACAGAAGATTCCCTCATGTTGGAGAGGACTGGACTCTCACTGCGTCCCAGAGGGGCACAACGGTCCTGGTCACTCTCACATGCAGCGGACAATGAATCATGGCCATTGCAGAATATAGTATTGGAGTCTGAGTCTGGGATCTGCAGCTGTGTATGTGTACCTGCTGGCTTCACTTCTGCATGTTCCATTTCTGCAAAACTCTTCCGGTTCTCCAGACCTGCTGAAGCAGCGTTACGTTCAAAATGTACAATAAATCTGTACCTTTTCTTCAAATAAAAAGCATTGGTTTTCTACTTTCTACAGTTTCTGAGGAAAGTTAATTCAGATTCACATAATAAAATTCATCACGTAAATCAATTCACTGAACCGTAAAAATACATTACATTATGTACTTTGCTTAATTTTAGTTCTGAAGCCGCTGAGGATGGCAGTAATGGATAACATTTTTCCCACATGCCCTCAGTGGTCAAATTTGGTCCACCTATTCTAAAATTAATTTAACAAAATTCATTTTTACACAGAAGATAACTTTGTCCACTCAGACATAATAGAAGGCATTAATGTACAGGTAGCCCTCGATTTGTGCCGATTCAGAATAACGCCGATTTTGAAACCAGAAAGTCAAAAAGTGGGGAAAAAATAGAGTTTACTATTATTTATAGCGTTTCGTAAATCGAGGGCTACCTGTACACCAAAGTGCATAAAATTTTATTCAAAAATCTCATTACTGAATCTGTGTTAAAGGACAGATAATTGTATTGTCAGTACAAAAAGGACCTGAAATGATACACAATCTAGATCAGAAAAGAAGGGAAAGACATTTTTCAATCTCTTCTTCCTGTGTTATGGATCTACTGGTCCTTCATCAATTTAATGGTTTACTTCCACAGTTTAACAGTTCTTCATTTCTATTACTAGATTTACTGCGACTGGCAGAATTATGATGATAATGATATGAATTGTTAAGAAAAGTAGCTGTAACATAACACTTTATCCCTACATCTCTGGAAGAAGAAAGGAATATCTTCAGCCTGGAGACTGAACTGTGGACCACCAATATAAAACCCTGAGCTTTGCTGAAAATTCCGTATTATTACCTCATCTATTTTCCATAAAACTCAGCAGCATGCTATTTCCATATTTATTTTCACTAGAAAGAAAGATGCAAGATATCTAGATTTCCTGAAAAAATTTATACTGAATTAAAAACACTAATAAATATACTCACTACTTTTAGGCTTTATTTTTTTATCACCATTGAGCAGAGGACTGATATCAGCAACAGAATCCTGTTGTTGAATTTTGGTATCCGCTAATGAGGCACTTACTGAGCCTGTCTTGGAGGTGGTTGTCTGTTCAAGGCTGGGATTACCAGTAGTTGGTTCCACTTTAGGACTGTGACGATGGGAAAGTGTTGGGAGTGGAGTTATAAGTGTGGGTACTGGTTTCATTGCTTCTTCACTTCCTCCAGTCTCAGGTGGAGTTACAAAAGTAGGTACTCGTATCACTGCTTCTTCACTTCCTCCAGTCTGGGGTGGAGTTACAAAAGTAGGTACTCGTATCACTGCTTCTTCACTTCCTCCAGTCTGGGGTGGAGTTACAAAAGTAGGTACTCGTATCACTGCTTCTTCACTTCCTCCAGTCTGGGGTGGAGTTACAAAAGTAGGTACTCGTATCACTGCTTCTTCACTTCCTCCAGTCTGGGGTGGAGTTATAAAAGTGGGTAGTCGTATCACTGCTTCTTCACTTCCTCCAGTCTGGGGTGGAGTTATAAAAGTGGGTAGTCGTATCACTGCTTCTTCACTTCCTCCAGTCTGGGGTGGAGTTAGGAGTTACAAAAGTAGGTACTCGTATCACTGCTTCTTCACTTCCTCCAGTCTGGGGTGGAGTTACAAAAGTGGGTAGTCGTATCACTGCTTCTTCACTTCCTCCAGTCTGGGGTGGAGTTACAAAAGTGGGTACTGGTGTCACTGCTTCTTCACTTCCTCCAGTCTGGGGTGGAGTTACAAAAGTAGGTACTCGTATCTTTCCTCCTTCACTTTCTCCAGCACTTGGTCCATCACTCTCAATGTCACAGTCTGCATCTTCCCTAGCATCAGCCTCTCCAACACCAACAACCTGAGGGTCCTGGTCACTAGCTTGCTTTTGAGTTGTAGAGGTGTTTGGTAGTTCCTTCAGTTCAAGTTGTTGGATTTGCTTTTCAAGCAGCTCAGCCTGACGTTTTGCTTTCTTCTTTAACTTCTTCTTCTTATTTTTGGACATTTTAGAATTAAGGTCTGGAGCTTGGTATTCCTTTGGAGCTGTGCTTACTGATAAACAGAAACATTATGACATTACTTGTTTACCTGTTCAGTTCATAAGCAATTCCTGTGGGGGTGAAAGGGTACAAGGACATCTCTAGTTAATACCATGCAATAAATGCACGGAAGAGTATACACATCCTTATTTTATTCTGGCTCTGACAAGACCACTGGTACCCACAAACTAAAATAATATTAGTATGGTCATATTTTTCTTTCCTTTCGTATTTCATTACATTTTTATGTGTCTATTGATAAGGAGACGTGTAGGCCCAACAGCCATTTCAGTATGTGTACGTGGATGACTAAAGGGGGCAAAAAATTTACTTCCCTGTTGGCAATTAACCACGTACTATCCATGACTTTGCTGATTTCGAAAGTCCATGACCCATGTTTACAGAAGTACCGAGAAATTACTTTGCGAAATAATGGAACAATCAAGATTATAAAATTAAAAATCACAACATTCTGAGAACATAAAATGGAAACTGCGTATATTTAATATAATTTTCAAGGAATTTATATACTCTTCAGTGGTTTTCTGAATTTGATATCTGTTTTAAGGAAAAAGTGGTAATTTCCAGCAAGTAATGAAAACAGCATGAACAGGAATTTCAATCCAAAGAGTTCAGAATCACATGGAAACTGAATGGTAGGGCTGAAATCAGAACATCACCACCTGGAGTTAAATTGGAATCAAAGTCTGTCTGCATGAAATACAGAATAACATCTGGGAAGAAAAAATTGGATCGAACACATATTAATGGCTCTGCAAAAAATGAAATGATACTAAATGGATTCTACAAAATATGCTGTCAGGGAAATGGCTATGTTCATGTCAGACCATGCATATATTGAAATGATCCAAGAACAACATTTTTATGCTATGTTACTTCTGCTTTCACAAAACAGTTTCTGAACATGAAAGCATAAAAATGGGATGAATGTTATACTTAAAAGGTGATGTAATTTATGTTGCATACTTAGAGATCCAGGTAGTTTTAATCCCATTTTGTGCCAGTGGGTGGCTTCAGATGCCAGTTTCCGTACATAACTTTCCTCCACACATAGAAGAATGTTTTCTGGCTTTATATCAGTATGAATAATGTTGCACTTCTTGTGGAGATAATCCAATCCCTCCAATACCTAAACAAGATTAGAGTAATAAAGAAATTAAAAAATGTTTCATGACTTACTGACTGAGCTATTCCTGTATCTTGTAAGCACTGTGGAATAAGCCAAGAGTAAATAAATAAACACACATTTTTGTTAAATATTAATGATATAAGATATTTAATAAATTGCCCTGTGTCCTCATTTTCACCACTGTCTAGAAGAAACTTTGTCCAGATTTGCAAATAGCAACCAGCGTTAACATATCCAACGACTTCTTCTTTCATATATCACATTTAACTCTTCTGTGATGACCAACATTTAAATGGAGTCCCAACCTGTTGGTGGAGGAAATTTAAACCCCATATACCTGGTCTATATCACATACAGAGGCTGGCATGAACACAAGGCAAAAAGAAGTTTATGTTCTTTTATTAGGAAGATATCCGTCTTCTGGGTTGTTGCGCTATGTAGTCTGGTCGATGTTAACCAACGTTTCAGAGGTCATACTGCCTCCGTCATCAGGGCGATCGCCCTGATGACGGAGGCAGTATGACCTCTGAAACGTTGGTTAACATCGACCAGACTACATAGCGCAACAACCCAGAAGACGGATATCTTCATACTCACCGCTGTGAGAACCTCAAGTCTTACATTCTTTTATTAGTTTCACAATATCATAACTAACTACAGAGGAACTTCCAATTTTCCTGTTGATTATAATGATGTTACTATGACACGAAAATAAAATATCTTACAGATACCTGTTTTATGATGACTTTCACATTTTTCAATGGAATACCCTGGTAGTTGCTGCGTATGATCAATTTAAGGAGGTTGTGACCCAGAACCTCAAATACCATACACACATGGGTTCCATTTACTCCACTGATCTTGAAATCATCTAACAACTGAACAGTTTTATCTCGCTTCTGGTCATCCACATCACTTTCACGTACCTACATAGATACCTCTGATTAATTCATATTATTTAACACCTGTCACCAATTTTTGTGTTTTGAAATGATCCACTCTTCGAGGCTTGCTTTACTGACATGAATGTTACATACAAGGGGATTCCTGTTTTATGATATAAAGAATAATGTAAATAAACGTCCACAAATTGTAAAAATAGGAACAAGAAATCTAAGATGTTTTTGGTGCAAAGATCAAAATGTCAAGCAGTAAACAAACACCTTTACAAAATGTAAAATGTTCTAGCACAAGACGACAAATGCGGCCATTTTGCGTGCAGCTTCAGACGGTTATTACTGTAATTTTCAACAAAAGCTGGAACTTTTCCCTTCTACTGATACAGTTAATAATATACTTTGAAGTTCTTGAGTTATGTACCTTGACATGATAAATAGCAGGATGACTATGAACTGTGAGTTTCAAAGGATATGTATGCAAATAAGCAATTTTGGTAAATGTTGTCAGTTTCATGCAGACTTATGGCAATAAATAAAATTATAATCTAATGTATTTCAATCTCAAATTTTTGACTTCAGTACTTAATGTAAATCTTTATATTAAAGTAGAGTATTATGTATTTTACAAAATTTATGGCAGCTACTGTTAGAATGAACACTTTGCACAAAGACCAAGTTCTACAGCAGTCTCTATTATTACAAAAATGATTTCTATATTCATACAGTAACATATAAACACGACTTACACATTTGAGCAATTTGATTTCATCTAGGGCTGTCTCAGTGTAATGAGCAGCACTCTTCACCACTTTGAGGGCTACAAAACGCTTGGCCCTAAAATGCAAACAGGCTTAATTAATGTACAACTCGAGGGTTTCGAGACGACTAAACACAATAAAATCCTCTCGGATGACAAGCCGTGTCAAAATGAAGCAGCAGTCCAACGTTTGAGAGACATTCTCTGTCTCCATAGTCAGGAACGATGTCCTGATGATGGAGACAATTCCAAATTATTTATATAAAAGTCACTTTAACATTATCCTCACATTTGTGCATATATCTTCCAAGTGGTCCCTTCCTTAAAAGGAATAAAAACTTTGCATAAACTTCTTGTACCTCCATGCTACATTCCCAGTGCATCTCATCCTCCTTGGTTTGACCACAAATTATGAAGCCCTTTGCTGCTTTCTTTTTCTTAGGTTAAAACATCCCCCCCCCCCACATTCTCAAACACTCTCAATCTGTGTTCTTCTCTTAACGAACTCAGTGTGTACAATCACAGTTTCTGAGGTTTAATCTTATGTTTTGAGATAACAGATGGAAAAATAAATTATTCTAAACTGAATGCATAAAACAAGAGTTCATGAAAGATAGAAAAAAAAGCAGGCAATTAAGTGGGAGCAAAATATTTCAGTTAAGTTAAGCTTACTTACACCAGATCCCAGCATAGCCAGACTGTGGAAAAATGCCCCCAGCCAAGCTTTCGGACCACATGATATCGATTGTGGAACAAATCACCAATTCTGACAGGATGATATCCCCCTGCAAACAAAACTAAATCTGTAACTTACTTATAACTTCAAAAGCAACTGCAATATTATTCCAAATTTATTTTTTCTCACTAATTAGTAACCATAGGTTAGGTTTACGGCAACATGTGCCTGCTCTGTATAACATCTTCTGAGCCATGTCGTGAATTTTCATGAAACTTGCTATAAACATCATGACGACGGAGACCATCCCCTCCTTTTTTTCTAACACCAATTTTTCAAACATGGCAGCCATACAAACTTCTAAGGCAAGTATGACACCAGAGTGACTTGGACGTGGAGCTGTACAATTTTGTGT